CCCCTCCAGAGCCTCATTTGGATTAAATACTTCTTTGAAAAAATGCACTGAATCATATATTTCCCCCCTAAATAACTGTATACAAAACTAGAAATGCTCCTTTTCACTGTGCAGTAAAAGATAGCCTTGCCACATTGTGATTTTTCTATGAGAATTGATAAATAGTAGAAACAAATCAGTTTTACCAAACTTTAGTTATCTTGGGAACAAACAATTTTCTACACCAGTGACAATGACAACAACATGAATGATATTGCAATTTCAACTAAATCAGATGTTTTTATGGGAATTATGATGGTATTTGGTGTAAATTTCCTCATTAGTGAATTATTATTTATGCAATTAACATAACCAAACCAAAAACAATTAGGCCGTCTTCTTATGACAATCTTGCATTCCGTAAAGTTTGAAACCAATCAGAAATACAAAACTTTAATTATAGGGTAAATTTCTTGATCAATGAATTAATATTAATTATGCAAATGAGAAATAAGCATATTCACACACATAACAAAAACAAAAGACTGTTGCTTCATCACCACATTGCATTATGCAAATTTGAAACCAATCAGACTTAACAAACTATAGTTATCGTGGTAACAAACAATTTACCCAACAACATCGACAAATGACAATGACAACAACAGCATGAAGAAGAACATGGGCAAAAATAATAGCCTCCCCAAAGTTTCGCTCCTTTAGAGAGGCTAATTAATGGAAGCAATATCACTCTTAACACATTCTACTAATGTTCTACTCTGGTCAAATTACATTTTTTCTAACCTGCTTGGGATCAATGTGTCTTATGTTATGATAACACAGCAACAAATTTTGGTAATTATGTGTTGTAATTGTACATTTACAGTTAAACTAAGGGCTTATAGCGTATATTTAAGTATAGTTTAAATATTTCACAAAAAAACAAAGAAAATGTCTATACAGAATAAAGTAAATATGTCTCTTAAATAAACGCCCTCTCAAAAACCCTTCTCAACAATAAATGTTTATTAAAATAAATAGGATATTGTCTTACTTTAAATAAGTCATTTTCCATGGTCTTTATGGGTATCAATCTTGAATCTTCCAAGGAGCAAATATGACTGTCAGCTTCAACCCACGGAAAATCCTGTCATAAAAAAGATAATTTTTAACCAACGACAAAAAGGATTTAATAATAATTTACCTATATGTAATGACTTCAAATAATTTTTAAAAACTCAAAATACAGTATGCTTTTTCTGTCAGTAATAGTAAATACTATTAATTAGAAATCAAAGTGCCAGTAAATAACCAGCTCAAAATTTGAGTCTATTAGTTGAGTATTAACATAGTTATGAATACTTAATTCAGTAGATATCAGTCATATAGGTTTTGAGCAGCTTCCAAGATTTGTATCTTTCAGTTTGGATAGTGATTGATATTTTGCCGAAATATTCTTCACATATCTCTTATTTCTCTCTCAAAAAAAAAAAATGAAATTGGTCAAATCTAAGGTTTTACCAGAATTAGACACGCACATGTGTAAATAATACAATAATAATTTTAACTGTTTCATGTTGGAAGGCACTGCTATTAAAGTAAAATATGGTGGAATAGCATACACAATTTGTGATGAAAATAACCTTTGACACTTTAAGTCATCTGGAAAATGAAGAAACAATAGAGGGCATGCTTCAATTTGAGAATCTTTTACCTGTATCAATTGCTGATTCTCCATTTCACCTACAACAGCATGATCTTTTGCATAAACAAGAACTGCAAATGAACAATCTAAAAAAAAAATCAAACAGTAATCAAAATATTAAAAATCCATAATTAATGAATAACATATTATATATAAATTTGCATGCTTATATATAATTGAAACCTGCAGCACAAAAAATTATTTATTATACATTTCAATTTCCATTAGATAAACTTTGAGACAAATGCTGTGTTGTAAGATAATAATAATTAGATATAATATAATATGTGATTACTAATAGTGATTTTAAATGTTTATTTTTGTTTTCCTTGTATCGTAGAATTATTTAATTTCACTGAGCCTCACTGATCTGGGAGACTTGTTTAATCACTGACAAGAGTGCCTCTCTCTACACTTTATCAACGACCGTAGAAAGTATTTTAGAAGTCGTTAGGCACTGCGGGAACGGTTTGGTTTCCCAACCTTAAGGTCAGGTTTCAATCCCTCGCTGTGCATTTCGCTTGTGTCCTTGAGCAAGGCACTGTATCTGCATTGCTTCTCTCCACCCAGGGGTATAAGTGGTTACCCTAAGGAGGTTTGAGTGCAAAATGCGCGGAATTATTTCATGCAGCAAACAATGGAATTTCCCCCATAGGCATCGTTCCAATGACTGGGTTAATAATGTGAAAAAGCGCTCTGACTATTCAATTGTCAAGCTGCCATGGAAGGACCATTTATTTATATAAATAAATTACATATATAAAATGAAACATGTATTGGAATCTTACCTTCTGGGTTCTTATCAAGGACTGCATCATACATATTTATTTTAAGAATTTACATCCTTACATTATTTATATCTAAATGTTTGTTTGGGGAAGCTGAATTTTAGTTATTCAATTGTCAAGCTATCATGGAAGGACCATTTATTTATATAAATAAATTACATATATAAAATGAAACATGTATTGGAATCTTACCTTCTGGTTTCTTATCAAGAACTGCATCACACATATTTATTTTGAGAATAAAGCCTCGAAATGCCTGCTCTATTGCTAGTAAGTACTCATCACCACTAGTAGAAATACAACACAAACATATGGTATATTGTTATAGCACAATCGCACAAAAAAATTACACCTATACATGTTTCTCCTGATGCAAATCCAGTTATTGTCTATCTTATCACGACAATAACAATTACTATCAACACTGCAGTACCCGCTGCTTACTTGGACTCGAATTCAACCCTGGCCATCAGGCGCAAGCTCGGTGGTCTAGAGGTATGATGCCAGGCTAGCGATCTGGAGATCGTGGATTCGAGTCCCACCCGAGAACAACTTGCGAATTTTTCGCAGTTGTTTTCAAATGTACTGAGTATTCGGTACATTGCCACGTCAGGTAGGACAAAAAAAATTACACCTATACATGTTTCTCCTGATGCAAATCCAGTTATTGTCTATTCCATCATGACAATAACAATTACTAACAATCTCATATTATTCGTTTAACATTTTCATTATTAATTATTGTAATATTATTGCATGCTGTTCCTTGGTTGTATTAATATTTTAACATTTGTAAGCAGGTTTGTGTAGTGTGAAAGATAGTTTGAGAATAATATCGCCCTGCGATATCTCGGAGGAAAAACAGGCCTTCTTTGGTCTGTTTTTTTTTTTTCTTCAGAGATGTTTTAAGTTATTCATTGTGCATGAATTTGTAATGCCACAAGGCAACAGGGAACAAATTTATGTTACATATGCTAGGCCTAACCTAAATATCTACTGTAGTCCTACACTGGATATCTACTGTAGGCTACAACCTGGATATCTACTGTGGGTCTTCCCTGGATATCTACTGTAGGCCTACCCTGGATATCTACTGTAGGCCTACCCTGGATATCTACTGTTGGCCTACGCTGGATATCTACTTCAGGCCTACAGGTATCCTTCCAAGATTTTGCGTCCTTTATGGATTATTGAGTGTGTGAAACAATTTCCGGGGAGATCAATTACTTGTTATTTACTGTTAAAAGTTGGAACACCTTCTGTTAATGCGTAAAGGTTATTAAAGTTTACTAAGTAAAATATGCATACTGTAAATATTCAGTTTTGTTTTTCCAAATGGGGGCACTTTCTTCCCATGATGTACTCACCTGATGGATTTCTTTCTGAGAGATGAAATTTCAAAGGCAAATCTTTCAATTGGTTTATTGTTGGAGTTCACAATCACCACAGTAACCCCTTGTACTTCATCCTACAAAATTTAGAGCAATGATTAATTATTTTGATAGGCATACAATCAAGGATATGCAAGTACTGTATAACATTTTATGTCTACTGCAATGCTATCATCAGCTGGCTTTGAGTTTAAGTAACAACTCAGTAATTCTACGCAATTCTCGTAGTAGATTATCCAACTATTTCAAAATAGCACTGTTGCTTTATGGAACACAGTTGGGCAATTTACGGCCCAGGGGCCACATGTAGACCGAGGATGACTTTGTTGCAGTCTGCGAAAATGAACCAAAAATAGATCATCTGTAAAAAGAAATATTTGAACTGAGCAATGGTATAAATACAGTCCATCAATGGAAAATCAAACTTTGGGTGCAGCCCAGTGTTAAATGACAAATTCATTTTGACCCTCTGTCATATTTTTGTGCCCACCATTGCTATCATCAGCATAGCTAGTTGCGAAAGGGCCCCAGTGCAAAGATGTGATAGGGAATTCCCAGTTTTTAGAAAATTCATAGTAAGAAGTGCTTCTTTTACCCACTACTTCTGAAGGCATAGGCTTGTAATAAATACTATATGATCATTGGATTCGTAACTATTTTAAGAGTGGGCATATTTGGTCTCAGCAGCTGTTTCAAACTAATAAAGAAAATTGATGGCACATAAAATTTAATAATTGCAGTGGGCCAGGCGAGTCAAGGAATTCGAAATAGAGGGGCTGCAGAGGGATTTTCACGGGTGGGGGGTAAAGACCACACCATGCTTGGGGCTGAGGGAAGAAAGGAAATTTATGATTATACAGTAGCACCTCTAGATGGCCGGAAATCACTCTCTTATTTTAATATAATTTTCTTCTTTTTTTTTCATTTCTTGGGGCATCATTGAATACATCACTGATTTGAAATCAACACAGTAATGAATAATGTATCCTCTAAAATATTATTGAGCAGCCCGCTGGCCGTTTTATTCATCAAAAATATTAACTATTCTTTTTAGGTCTACAGTATTTATAAATGGGCCCCTAATATACTGTATCCCACTGCACTGCACTGCCCATAGCTATGACACTGCCTGCTATAGACAATTTACAATTAATCCAGAAAATTAAATCTGCTTTATAGATGATGTACAATCAATCAAGTAGATTAGAACTGCTATAGAAGATGTACAATCAATCCATTATCTGATTAAAATACACAATTATCCTGACATGAGATACTGTTGTTGTAAACACAACATTTGTAGTAAGAGCATAAAAAATGATACATGGATGTGATTGCTAAGACTTTGTATTTACTAAGACTAACCTAACATTTCACACATAAAAATGCCAAGAAAAAGACCACTATTTATGTGAGTAATATATGTGTTTGTAATATATGCACAACAATATTACCTTTCTTAAAAGAGGTTTGAACCCACAGATGGTGTCCTTGATGTATCTATTGACATCAGGATGCTGTGACATCTGTCAACAAAACAGGTAATTTTTAATTATTTTTATTTTCATCTGCGAAAAAAAAACTTCATCCTTGTAGAGCTGAACTTGCCTAAGTCGAATCCAAAATGCCATTGAAATATTGTTCAATATTATTATTATTATATATTATTATATTCAAAATTTGACTTACAGATTGTTAAATAATGGAATACACACCAATTTGCCATGTAAAATTAGATCGACTTTATTTATTATTTATTATTATTTATTATTTGACTTAGGAAAAGTCGACTTAGGCAAGTTTAACTTCCCTTACTACTTACTTTCTAAAACATGAAAATATATTACTCACAAATATGCTATTATTTTAGGTCACAAATACACAGAATTCCATGGTTTTACACTGAAGAGATATGATCTATGCCACCTGGGTATGTGTGGAACTTGACTACAGACTAACTAGCATAACAATATTGCACAGTACCATATTATCAATCGTGCTCGGTGAGATCATGTACAGTTAAAAGTCCTTGATTAATGTACTGCAGCACATACGGTAGATTGAAATTACGAATGTATTGTAGTAGTATCTCAACATTTAGCCTGGGTTCCAGGCCCTAATTTTGGGTTACTCACTCTTTATTGCACTTAATGCGCACCATACCTAATTTAATTGGTATCCCATACTCGATTTATTTATTTTTTTATTTTTCGTCTCTAAATTAACTTTCTCGTTGGTGGCGCTGTCCAGAATGAGAAAAATAATAAAAAATAAGAGACTTGTGGCAAGTCTACCCAACATTTAGTAAATACTGTATCTGTTTATATAAAGAGCTGTTTTCAAGAAATAAATTTTACAGAGGTATGTAGACTGGTTTCTGCCAAAGGGTGTTAGAGAAGGGGAAAAAGTTAATATACGGAACTATAGTCTCTATTCTAATGAAATGCTATGGCCATTTTTATGATTTGAACCCATTTGAAAAAAATTTGCCACCATCCCCTTGCCTATAAGCCCATGTTTTATTGAATAACAAATTAAAAAAAATTTATTAGTGTTATTTATTAAATATTAATAGTGTTGTAATAATATACATTCATACATTAAGAAATAATTGATATTAACAACAATATTTATAATAACAACAATAAAAACAAACAAGAAAAATATTTATATATCTATTTTATTCACTTAATAAGAATACTGTATATATACAAGGTAAAAACCAAGAAGTCCAATACAGATAATCGTATATACTTTCGGATAAAATGACATTTCTTTTTTTTAGTTAAACAGAAACAAGCCTGATTCTCACCTGAACTGGAATATTATACTTGCAACATTTTTCAAAAATTCCAGCTGGATAAATATTGCGAACATAGAGAATCTGATGAACTGCTACTTCTAAAAACTCACTCAGAATATCAGCCGTGACTGCAATACACACACAAAAAAAATAATACATTATGATAGCCTAGCCCTAGGCTATTAAATATTACAATGGAAGAAAATGAAAGATAAAGTTAAAATCGGCCTGTTCGATCACTTCACCTAGACTAGGTCTAGGGCCTAGAGCCTTAAAGGATTGAAGCTTTTCCTTAAAAAAAAAAATTGGTTGTGATCCTTACTAGCTGGCTGGGTGGGTACAATATTGAATATGTTGACACTTGTGACTAGAATGGCTAGGCAGGCAGCTACGTTGCCAGATGACTTAGGTAAGCTAGCCAGGCCAAGATAGAGACCAGGCTAAGAGCTTAGTAAAGAGAAAATGCCACCTAAGCTCCTGGCTACGTCCAGACCTAGCCTAGGCCTAGCCTTACCTTACCGTACGGTACATTCACCGCGGTAAGAAAGTAGGCATAGGCTAGGCCTGGCCTAGAAGGGTAATAATGTTATTTACCGTCGTTTAGCTTCATTTTATCAGAATCCATTATTTATTTCGAAGATAAGAGTATCATCGACTTAACTTGTTTATTTTCTGAAAAATGAACTTTGATGAAAAACAGAGAACCAATCAAAACTCGATCTATACTGCAAGCTCTCTAGACAGAAGATTTCATTCGACTAAACATTTCTAGAGTTAACAAATGTTACCAATGTTGACCAATGAAAATGTCTATTATATCTGCATGTAGCACAGTGTCAGCTGACAATCCGATTAAGATCAGGTGGTTTTGCCGGCTTGCGACAGAGTGTAATTTTTTATTTAGAAAATGAAATATCTGTTAATTACTGTATTTAAAGTCTCTGTCCTAGGAACTGTTGCATTTCTGATAATTCAGCATTGGTTAGAAAACAAGTCATACCTTTTTGATGGCCATAAGATAGCAGCAATTGCTGGAAAATATGTCGGTAAGAAGAAAGGACACGAGGCACTCGGAGAGTGGGACTTGGTTGGCCTGCTCAACTGAAGTGAATAGGCAGGGCCTAGCCTAGGCACACAACACACTTACTAGTAGCCTAGGCCAGGGAGTTATGGGGGTAGGGAGTAGCTGTCAGAGTAGGATCCGGGTCGTTTCGGCCCTGAGTCGATTCCGCCCAGGTCGATTCGGCCCGAAACGACCCGGGTCAGAAGTGGTTGCGCCCTTAATTGACTGTAAGCATAAATCGATTTCAATTAACAGCCACAGTATGGAGCGCCAAGTACGCATTGTGTTTTATTTGGGTTCTGTATTTTTTAAGAGGTTTTTTTTTTGTGTGTGTTTTAGTAGTATGATTTATTTGCTTTATTTTAATTAATATTATGACATCATTCAGTATTTTTTAAATTTATTTTATATGTATTGTTATAAATAGAAC